AAATGTGCGTAAGCCAGGTCCTTAGTCAACATAAAGTTGTGCACATTTTTCCGCTAAGTTTTCTTTCATAAATCCCAAAGTTTGCGTGGAAAGTTGCTTACGCAGTTTTCCGACCCCGTTTTATGCGTAAGCAAGCTTGATAAATGAGGCCCCTGAACCGTATTGGAATGTTTACTGTGTGAAGGTCCTTGAGACGACTCTGATTTGGTGCTTTATAAATAAACTAGAAATGAATAGTTTACAACAGACTCCACAAACTCTCTCAGATACTTAAGAAAGGTTTTGCTAAAACATCTCACTTCCATTCCATCATTCATACCTTGTCAAGTATAATCATTAGTTTAGGGAAAAATAAATAAATTCATTTTTATAAACTACATACTTGACTCTGTCGGAATTAACATGAAGTGTGTTTATGGTCCCTGAATAAGTAAAAGTAACTATAATCTTCTCATTAAACATTCAAAGATCAATCAGATTGATATTTCATATTTATATGGAATCATCGCATCTTGTTGATCATTAGTTACAGGTGTGACCACTCCTTAACGCTACATGTATCAATGTCCCAACCTCCTGGTGGATAAAGAAGGCCGTCCAACTGGGCACGATGAACCACATCAGTCATACCAAGACACTGTGCTGAGGCACTCATGTACAAAAGGTCTCCATGATCCAGAACAGACAGAAATGTTGCCGTAACTAGTCGACTCGGTTTGTTGCCTCAAAAGAAAAACAGTTTATTTCTAAATAAGAAACCCAGTCTGAGTTTGAGTTTCTTCACAAGATTATCTACATGGGCTTGAAGGAGAGGGAGTCATGGAGCCAGACACCAAGGTGTTCGTATGTGTGGACCACCTCTATGATGTTTCCTTCTAGAGTGGTCACTGAGGGCATCTTTAGAGGTCGTTTTTAGAGTTACAAACCAACATTAGCTTAGTCTTTTCTGCATTGAGGACCAATTTTAACTGCAGAAGTGTTTGTTGGACCTCATTAAAAGCTTTCTGTAAGAATTCAGCAGCTTTAGTGGGGAGTGGTCCACAACAGTAAATGATTGTGTCATCAGCATAAAAGTTAATATTAGCATCAGACACATGTTGTCCTGTCATTAATATACATAATGAACAAGAGGGGTCCGAGGACTGAACCCTGTGGTTCTCCCTTGTGGACACTCAAACATTCAGAGGACAACCTATCACATTTAACACATTGAGTTCTGACCTTCAAGTAGTCTGTGAACCATGATGTTCAGACAATCCCAAACATGAAGCTTTTGTTTTAAAACAACATTGTCTACAGGGTCAAAGGTCTTTGACAGATCAGTAAAAAGTGAAGCAAAGTACTGCTTTTTATCCAGAGCATCAACTATGTCATTGGTCACTGTTGTAGCTGCTGTGATGGGGCTGTGCTTTCTACCTTTCCACCTGAAACAAGCAGAGTTCTCTGATTTCTCCATGTTGGAACAGGTTTGACGGCTTACTGTAAGTTCGTTCTGTTCTGCTGTTTGTGTTGGCTTTTTCTGATCCCTGAGGGAGAACAGTCACACCCTCCTGTAGTATTCTGGGTCAAGCCTGCAAAGAAAACATGGAGATCCAGGTAGACAACCAGAGTGGTGCTGCCACCTGGTGGCTATCATAGAGTTACACAACAGAGAGCCACAAGAGCAATCCACAAAATAACACATCAGCAGGAAGTCTGGATTCTTTTATCCTGACTGTGGAATGAGTGAGTGAGTGAGTGAGTGAGTGAGTGAGTGAGTGAGTGAGTGAGTGAGTGAGTGAGTGAGTGAGTGAGTGAGTGAGTGAGTGAGTGAGTGAGTGAGTGAGTGAGTGAGTGAGTGAGTGAGTGAGTGAGTGAGTGAGTGAGTGGGTGGGAACAACACTTGCACCCACACCACTTTGTTTACAGCTAAAGAAACCCTGTGCACTGTGGAGTAAATTCGTATAGGCATGCCAAGCCTGCAGCCAACAGTAGTTTCCCAAACCTTCTGCAGGGTTGCTGGCAAATGTTCTTTGGATGTGGAAGGTAGGCAGCAATAATTGTCCTTAATGTGGTCCTTCGCCTTGGTCTTCTACACTGAGCTAGTCAAGCGAGTGTCAACACTAGTCACACATGTGATGGCAGAGCATTTGCCATGGGCAGTGGCATTGCCAAACCTAAAAGCCCAGTTATTTATGTCCACAAGCAAATGCTGACAACAAATAACTAGCAAATCTCTACTTTGGTTGGAGGTTTTTGAAAACTATATTTGTGTAGATGACAATCCACAACGTAGAAAATATCTTGTTTTTGTGGGATGTCTGGCTGTGTGTATGTGGCCTAATGAATTGTAGAGATGTGACTTTTTATGTAAATTAGCTAAATATACTGAAAATACTTAGATGTACAATTTTAATAAGGTTGGGCATTTGTAATTACCTATTTTATGAACTCAAACGTAGCGTTCGAAATGCCCATGGTTATTTGTCCACAGCAATGTCAGGGGCCACCCAATCAAAGTGCAGGTCAGGCCACGGTGGACAGTCCCCTGCTCTGAAGAGGAGCCCTGGCCAGTAAGTCTCCTGGTTTGTAGCCTTGGCACCTTTGTGTCCAGCTGAAGGAGAGACTTTTACTCTTTTGAATAAAATTATTCTTATTTGGTCTCATAAAATGATTTCTTTCCATCTACAGGTTTACAATCAAATTCAGTGTTAACAAGTGAACGTGTTACAGACTTACTTCATGTATTAAGTGAAATGAGCTTTCTAAGCATCACAGAAAGGTGAGTGGCTGAGGGTCTTGGTGAACACCTAGACACATTTCTCAGATCTGATTGGTCAAAGTTCGTAAACAACCATTTCATTAAAAGTGAATCACTTCCCATTTCCCAGTTCAGCCAGAGCTCACAGCTCATGCTAAATGACCATCCTGGGGAATCAAACCAGATTATTCAGTGGAATAACTTCAGCAGCACATGAACCATCCTTTTGAATCAACAGTTATTTTTTGCCCAATCCACCATCCACTCATCAGACATGAAACCGTCCACCAGAAGCCACCTGGGAAGTATCTTCTGACCAGTCGTGCGTAAGCTGAGGGTGTCTACGACCTTCAGATACATCAAAAGTCCACACTTTGCTTGCAGACCAGAACCCCAAGAACTTCCACTATCTATGGTGCAGGCTATTCAATGGTTGATATTAACTTGATAACTCACGTTTATGTTTATTTATGTGGCAGATGCTTTTATCCAAAGCAACGTACAACTGTTGACCTACAGCGCATGTTGTGATCTGTTGGGGAAACCGGAATACCGGAGGAAACCCACGCATGCATGGGGAGAACATGCAACTCCACGCGGAAAGACCACAGCTGGGTTTTGAACTTGCAACTTTCCAGCTGCGAGGCAACAGTGCTAACAACTGCCCCACCGTGCAGCCACTGTTACATTACATCAACCAACAGCCAAATATATTTTATAAACCAGACATCACACCTTTCTGAGTCACACCAGGTCATGTTTCATCAGAGTTCATTCATTGTCTCATTTAACATCACTGTGTCAACTTTTATAATCATTTGTCTTTTATCATCATTGATATAGGAAAATATTGATTTTTATAAACTATAATTTTGCCTCTTTGACAGTTGATTATAAAGTGTTTCCCTGGCAAACCCCAAAGTACCTAGTTTTATCGTCAACATTAAAGGCTCAATAGATAGATAGATAATCTTTATTGACAGACTCTTAGGTCCAGATAAAATACATATAAAACAACAGATCAATGAAACAAAATAGATAAATAGAAATAAAAAGATAACAGCATAAAATTGAATAAAAATCTAAATGTAATTAAAAACTTTACTATAAACTGTTCCACACAAGGTTAACCACACAAACCCTTCAACCAGTATTTCCTTATACTGGAGAAATAGCGACAACTGCTCACAGTAGGATCAGTGATTGCTAAAATTATACTGTTGGCAGAGCTATCCAGTCGGCCTGTAAAAGTGAATATGAGCTTTCTTAAAAGTGCTTTAAAAGTACAAACGCCTGCTGTTACAAACATCTGACTGGCACTGCCCCCTCTGGGTATTTTAAGTATGATCCTTAAGGCATCATTGTATGCAACTTGCAGCTTATTCATGCTGCTTTGATTGTAGGATGACCACAGTTGGGCTGTGTAAAGTGGAGTACAATATGCTTTAAATAAAGCCACCTTAACTGGAGGTGAACAAAAACCAAACTTACGAGCTATAGTGTTAGCTTGTGCATACAGCTTACAGCACTGTCTGTGGATGTCAGCATCATCACGCATTTGATCGGTTATAAAGTGGCCAAGGTATTTCACCTTCTCACACACATTAAGATCACTATTAGACAGTTTGAACACAGGAAAGTTTAGCTTTTTATCCTGCTTGGTTCTACATATCAAGATAGCACTTTTAACAGCATTATACTGGATATCGTACTGCACACCATATTCAGAGCAGATATTTAGGAGCTGCTGTAAACCAGCACTACTTGGACTAAAGACCACCAGATCATCAGCATACATCAGATGGTTGATCAAAGTTGTACTCATCAAACATCCTGTGTTACAGGCTCTGAGCTGCACAGACAGATCGTCAACGTACAGATTAAATAAGATAGGAGACATAATTTCACCCTGTCTAACACCATTACTAACGCCAAATGGTGCAGAGATGCTGGCACCCCATTTAACCTGTATCGTCTGATGAGCATACCAGTAAGACAGGATTCTCACAATAAACCCAGGGACCCCCCGTAGCTTTAACTTAATAAAAAGTTTTTTGTGGTTGACACGATCAAAAGCCTTAGAAGCATCAATAAAATTGATAATCCATATTTTTATGGATTATTAAATTTTATTGAATACTTTTATATTCTATTGATAATTTATTAAAGTAACCAGCTATAAAACGTTACACAAATAAATAAGCAAACAAATAAATAAATAGTTCTCTGGTCGGCACGTCTGGAGCTCCGTACCGCCGGAGGTTTTGGGCTGATTACGTCATCCGCTCCGTGTTGTTGCAGAGTCACTGCGACGGTCTGCCTGTAAACAAGACGCGAACGGAGAAAAGTCCCGCTTGTGTTCGGAACCTCTGTACTGTTGTTGGATCGGTGATTCACCGCTGCCGTAAGTTCGGGAGCGGTTCGGTAAAACGTGTCTCGGTCGGTATATTTTGTGTTTTGTTCGCGTCACAGCCACAGCTCGTGTTTTCAAGGAGACAGGCGAGCACAGTTAGCTGTTGCTGTTAGCCTTTCTGGAAACATCCTCGTCCTCCGGGCTTCCTTTCCCCCTTTCTCCTCGCTGCGACCTGGATCAGCTGAACCGTGAGTACTACCTGTAGAGTTCGTTAGGTTACAACCCGAAACTTGTCGAAACCGTTAAAAGAGCGTTCAGTGAGGGGCTAGCCAGTTAGCTGCATCGCTAGCTAGCGCCAGCTAATGACTGCAAGCCACGTCTTCTGCTTGTTTGGATGGTAGTTTTAATAAATGAAAACAACTCCGTCTCACAACAAAAACTTTTATGTTGAAGCAGCTGGTGGACATTATTGCGGCTCGATCTGCGGGTTTGGCCTGTTCACCTTCTGTAAGCTACAGTTATTCCGTTTGTCCTGCTTTAATATTTAGATTTAGTTTAGCTTACCAGCGTCCTGCCCCTGGAACAAAACACAGCAGTCATGCGGTGCTGGTCCTAGCTGTCGGCAGGGTGGTGGAGGGCTGATGGTTTGGGCTGAAGCCAGGTCCATCCCTTAGCCATTAGTTCACTATCTTCTGTGACGACACTACGTTAGTGGGACATCTGCAAAACCTCATTGAGCTGAAAAAAAAACTTATCTGTGGGAAAAAGTTTAGTATTTGGTTTTTGTTGCTCAATAAGAGGACTCAAGTAACTGGAAACAACTTCATCTGATAGTGTTAATAGATACGTGAATTGTCCTGGGTGCTTCTATAGCTGATTTTGATCTAAAGTTTGAGCCACTTTAGTAGCTGCATGATTTAGGATTTTTCTGTACATTTATCAGGCCTGAAGCAGGAGCTTAATGGAGTGTTTTTTGTGTTTGTTGCAGCTGGGGGGGTGGTCAGAGCAGCCTCCTCCCACCATGGAGGCAGCAGGTAAAGACTGCGAGGACGAGACGCTGCAGACTGCGTTTAAGAAGCTGAGAGTCGATGCTGGGAGGTAATCAGCTGCCAATGGAATAGACCAGGGGTACTCGAATACAAGTCTTAAAGGGCCACAAAAATTCAACGAGACAAACATCCATTTGTTATCATTTGTAAATCAACAGGCCTTAATAATTTTTTAGTAACACTGAAGTAAAACAAAACTAAAAATAAAACCCGTCATGAATCTAAAACAACATAGGGACGCGGTTAAAGCTTCTTTCTGGAGTATTATCTCTATCCGATGGCACCATCTAGTGGCTGACAAGCATATCACACTCTTTCCATTTTTTTTAAGATGACGACTTCACGTTTCTGTTTATAAATGTGCTTCTGTAGCGACAAACAGCTAAAACACATTGTTTTACGGGTGTTATGTCATGCTGTGTTCTCATATATTTATATTTTAGAGACTTTCTTGTCTGTGAAAAGTTCATCAGCTCTGCGTCAGCTGAGGTGTTTCTTACTTCTGAAGCATCCAGGTGGTAGTCTAATGCTATTGGTTAGTTCTGGTCGGCACTCAGTTTCCTATTGCACGGAGCTCTCTGCGGGGCAGGGGGCGTGGTTAGCAACAATAAGACGTATTGCTTACATTATATCACAGTACATGATAAGATAATCACTTTTACAGATTTCTGACAAATCATACATCATTTCTGAAAGAGGAGAACTCCGGAAAGATACGTTAAGGAGATTTTCTTTCCAAACAGAGCTTAAAAACGTGCAAAAATCAAATGTACATTTTAGTTTAACTCATTCGCTGCCAGCGTTTTTACTGTTTTTTAAGAGTCACAGAACGTTGCGCTAGGATGATGTCAACGCCAAAACTACCAAAACAAAGAGGATACTCACCTCTTTAGGGCAGCAGCTATCGAATGTTTTTGTAATCAAGTACTCTATCGAATATTTTATCGATTAATCGAGTACTCTAATAAATTACCCTTTTGCGTTTGTAAACCATTATATCAAACTGCATGTTATAAAATATGAAAGACCTCTTAAAATGAGCAATTGCCAGTTATTCTTCAAGTTTTATTCAAAATTAGTTTTCAAAACTTCAGCACTTCAACTTTACTTCACAGTAAACAAATGCGAGCGGCTGCGGCCCAAACAGCACCAGAACCGCTCACGGCGCATGCGCAAACATGGCTCGCCAGCTATTTCCCTATTAACACACGTCCGTTTTAATTTCTACACTTTTTTTGTCTCACACTAACAAGGATTGTCGAGAAAGCATGTTTGCCGTGGATATGTCAAATTATACTGATCACACAACATTTATTTACTTTCTTTCGTTTTCCTCCGCCGCTCATAAATACCTGTGTCCTCCTGCAGCAATCCCGAGGGACAACGGACATCAATAACAACACAGTAAAAAGTCCGACGTGTTGTAAAAACTATTTTTAGCACATTTTAAGACAGACGTGTTGCTACCAGACGCACAGTGTGAGCTGAAACTAAGTGCTACAAATGAAAAAGTTGCACAGTGTCTGCAGAATATATAGAAATACAGGCTAAAATGCATTATCTTGTAGAGGCTCCGAGTCCGCTTGCAGAAGTGACATTTACATGTGGATGTTTCCTGGTCAGGTGCTGCAGCATCGAGGATGTGGTGGTGTGCTAGGCTAAATCCATTTTACAGTTTTTAAACTGGAGTATGTTTTCCGCCTTACGACGTGAAAAATGGTCCCACACCTTTGACGTTTTCTGTCATTTTCACTCCACCGGGGTCCGCGTTGTCCGCCATGGCTTAAGAGAAAGTTAAGTTACATTCGCTACTCGCGTGTGCATTCAGTGCAGTTTGTATGTGCGTCACTTATTTCGGTCCGGGTGAAACATGACCCCGGGTGATTGCAAAGCCATGAATTAATTAAGCATGAATTAAACAAAGCCTCGAGGCAGAGAATTTGACTCGAGGATTTTTTGTACTCGAATTATTCGAGGTACTCAAGGAATCGTTTCAGCCATACACCTCTTACATCAGGAAGAATCTGCGCATTTTGAGCGTTATCCGTTCTTTCATAATCCGTTGTCGAATTGTGGAATGCAGTGGGTAGGAGGGGTTTTAAGGCAAGGCAGCTTTATTCCTATAGCACATTTCACACACAGAGGAAATTCAATGTGCTTTCCATTAGCAAGAATATTGAAATCTGCGTAACAGAAAATATGGTTTAAAAATAAAAAATAAATAAAGTTAAAGGGTGAGCAGCTACAGCGCAAAAAGTGCAGCATAAGAACATTTATTTAAAAATGGGTGAAAACATGACGGTTTTCAATTTTGATTTAAAGTTAGGGTCCCATCTGAGGTCACGAGGAAGCTGATTCCATCTGTGAGCAGCATAGTAGCTAAAAGCAGGTTCATCCTGTTTGGTTCTGACCCGGTTCTACCAGCTGATGCTTCCAAGAGATCTCAGAGCCCTGCTGGGCTACAGGAAGTTGATCCGACATGGATTCTGGTCCCATGCCATTGAGTGATATATAAACTAGTAGGAGCACTTTGAAATGGATTCTGTAGTTTACTGGTAACCAGTGTAGGGATCTAAGAACAGGAGTGATGTGCTCCGTTCTCTTGGTTCTTGTTAAGACTCTATGATAAATGACCCGCACTTGTATTGACCCATTGAACGTGACGTGACGTCAGGTCACGCCACTCATGGGACCGCCCCGTTTGCCATGTTGGACGGCAAAAAGACCGTTTACACACGTTGAAACTCCGGTGAAGCTAGTCAGAACTTCCTTATCTAGGAGAGCTGAGTTCTGGAGGTAAAAGAATTTGGTTTGCGTTAAGCTATGAAGGTGGTTGTTATCAAAACACATCAGACGCAATCGAAGACCTTCGTGATAGATCCGGAATGTCGAAGTCCTCGGACTTCCAGGCACCGAGGTCCGTAGAAGAAACTGTGGTCCCACCAAACCGGTCTTAGAGTTGTCTCCAGGCCTCAACAGACGGATGGAACCGCGCGTCTGGGACTCTGAAGGAGTCTAACAATATCAGCTTGTTCTGCAGGAACGGTTGCGGTATCAGCATCGCAGGTGCAAAAAGATTTTGACGACGTGTCAAAAGCTTTGAAGGTTAAAGAAGGTTTTTTTGCTTCAGGTGGCCGGTCTGAAGTTTTCAGAACAGTCAGGTTTATAAAAGTAAGAATTTATTTTACAAACAATTAAAACATGACAAGTTAACTAAGCATTTACTTGATGGAGAGAACTAAATGTGATGTGTGAACCTATGTGTCAATGCGATGTTAGTCAGAACCTCCTTATCTAGGAGAGCTGAGTTCTGGATGTAAAAGAATTTGGATTGCGTTATGCTATGAAGGTGGTTGTTATCAAAACACATCAGACGCAATCTGTCATGTTTACATACCCACTCGACGACCCTCGTGATAGATCCGGAATGTCGAAGTCCTCGGACTTCCAGGCACCGAGGTCCGTAGATGAAACTGCGGTCCCACTGAACCGGTCTTAGAGTTGTCTCCAGGTCTCAACAGACGGATGGAACCTCGTGTCTGGGACTCTTAAGGAGTCTCAGATTGTTCAGCAGGAGCTGTTTCTGTATCAGCTTTGCAGGTGCAAAAAGATTTTGACGACGTGTCAAAAGCTTTGAAGGTTAAAGAGGCTTTTGCTTCAGGTGGCTGGTCTGAAGCTTTCTCTAGAACTGAGAGATCACCTGAGAGTGATCCAGTTTTGATGTTCTCATGTTATGATTGTTGTAGCCAACCAAAGGTTGGCAAGTTTGAGAAATATTACCAAGAAACTCAGAAACATGCTTTCTTTGATACGGAGGCTCTGGCTGGGGTAAAAGACTATTTATGTGTCAGAGTTTAACTTTACCTTATTTTGTCCTTGTGTGAGTGCAAATGGTTAACATGCTGAAACGTATTTCAATCACTGTAATCATAACATAACATTCATTTCACACTTCAGTCATCGAGCACAGATTAATGAAATATTTCATTATATTATATATGGATTTAGGAAATCGTTCTTTGACTTAGCAACTGATCCGAGCTGGAGTGTTCCTTATATGGAGGCATGAAGACCTGAAAGATTGGACCTTGAGGAGAGAATGTTATCGTTGACATGTCGTTATCTGTGTTCAGAGCTGCAGAGACTAAGCTCCAGCTGATGGGATGAAGGCAGGCCAATTTAAGGGGGACACATGCAGTCTTGTGTCTCCTTTTTGACCAGATGTTGAATGGTCAAACTACCTAAAAACTGACCATTGCTGGACGTTAGGGGTGGGAAATATAAACAATAGAAGGTAGAAACAATATAAAATTGGGTAATGATAGAGTTTTTGGCTATATCACAATACCGCAGTATCACGATAACGCATGACGTCTCTAAGATGTGCACCCTGCTGACATTTGGACAACAGAACGGCAGTGACTGCAAGCATGGAGTGGGCGGAGGAGGATGCCCACTTGCCTCAAGTGGCATATATTTGCCACATGAGGATATTTAAAAGCATGTCATTTTGACATATTAACAGAGGAAAAACTATATCGCAATATATATCGTTACCGCACATGCTTCAGATTATATCGCAATATAGATTTGAGGCCATATTGCCCAGCCCTGCTGGACGTTACAATGGTAACAATATTCTACGTGGCTGGCTGCACTAACAGACAAGAATGTAAAGTCAACTTGTTTAATTATTTATTTATTTTATTCAAATTACGTTGATCGAGACTGAGGACAGAGATGAGCTGCAGCGATTAATCCAACAGCCTGGCAGCCCTCGGGTTTACAGCGAATGTGTTTTTACCGGGTAAGGTAACGTTTATGTCATGACGAGGACAGGGACAAACGTGATGCGTTCTTCTGATGGATGGATATTCCACCATGGAGGATGCACGGTACCGTCCACTGTAGTGAAATGCGAGATAATTAATTACAATATTGCTTCAATGCAGGGCCTGAAATTCACTGTGGGATTGCGGGTATTGCGCGTTATATATTCGCTTCTCGCAAATCTAGTTTTATAGAAAGTCCCACACAGCCTGCAGCGAA